TTGAAGTCATGACAAAGGAATCGGCATGAAGATGAACGAAGTGAACTCTTCATTCTCTCCTCTCTCCCTTCTCTCCTTCCTTTGATTGATCCTTTTTCTGTTTCTTTTCTTGTCGCCTTCTGCTGTCAATGACAGGGGTAACACGAGGGAGGGGCAAAGGGACGACGTCCGTTCCTCTCGACGTGGTTCGTTTTTTCATTTCCTCTCGCGTTGTCTCTCTTCCGCCTCTCTCTCTCTCTCTCTCTCTCTCTCTTTTTCTCGCTCTGTCTTCCTCTCTGCCGTGTCTCGCTCTCTCATCTCTTCTGTCCCCTCTTTCCTTGCTCCCTTGCTTGAAGGAATAGAAAACAGAAGCGAAGACATAAGATGGAGGAAGATGGTTGGGAGAAGGAAGGTGGATTCCTCCCTCACTCGGCTCTTTGACTTTCTTTGCCCTTGCCTTCTTTTCTCTGCTCCTATCCTTCTTCACAATTAGAAGGATAAGCGACAAGAACGGAGAGCTCAGGGAGAGCAAGTGACACTGTTCCTCATAATCTCCTCCTTCATCGTGTTCATTGCGTTGTCCATCTCCCCCTCTCTCTCTCTCTCTCTGTCTCGCTCTCTCTCTCTCCCTCCATCCTTTCCTCTCTACTTCTGCACATTTACTTTTCCACTTCTCTCGCCTACTACATTATGCTTGATTTGATACTTATCTTCAACTTTCTCTCACTCTCTTTGTCCCATCGCTTTCCCTGTTCCTTCTCCTCCTCCCTTCCCTGCCTCCCGTCCTTCTCCCCTTATCACTCAGAAGGAAGAAGGAAGACTCACAAGGAGAAAGACAAGGGAGTAAGAAAACAGACAAAAGAAACGGAGAGAGAGCCATAAGGGACGAAATACAGAAACAAAGAGAGAAAATATGGGGGAAAGATAATCAAAAAGAGAGACAGAAAGAGGAGGCGATGCATAAAGCAGCCGACAGTGCCTTGACCTCCACGTCTATTCATTCTTTGTTCTTGTCCTATCACACTGTCTCATTGGTGATACACCAGGAAGAGCTTGTGGAGGGAGACGAGGAAGAAGTGTTCTCCTCTTCACTCACCTTGTGCCCTTCCTCTCCCACCGCTCGCCCGCTCTCCTTTCTTTGATTTTCTTGTCTGGCGGAAAAGTGGGAACCAGGAAGGAAAGTGGACAAGGGAAAGGACGAGATTGAGAAATGACAGAAAGAAGAGAGATACAGAGAGAGCGAGGGAGAGCTTCAAGCCCAGCAGAGGAAGAAGAGAGAGGAAGATAAGAGAAGGGGCAAGGGGTGGCCAGAAAAAGCGTAAGCCAAAGCTACGTATTGAAAGGGCGGAAGCCCCATTCTCCTCTTCTTCCTCTTTGCTCTCTTGTTTTTCTCTTGCCGCAGGGCATGCATGGAGCTAGGAAAGGGAAGGGGTCAAAGCGGATGAGAGCTCACCTCCTCCTCTCATTCTCCTGATGCTTACTCATGTCAGAAGGGTCTGGAAAGGAGTGAAGGCTAGGGCATGGACTGAAGCGAGGCAATAGATGAAAGTGGATAAGAGAAAGTCGGGGGAAGTCGAGTGCGAAAGAAAGAGAAACGAGGAAGACTAGGAAGAAGGACACAGAAGAGGAAGCGAGAGAGTACCAGTGTTGCCGTATCTCACAGGACTCCGGGCCTCGCGAGGGCTTCGAGGAGGCTTGTAGGCGCCTTCAGACACTTCCACAACTTTCTGGAGGCCACCAACGTCCTCCCTAAGGGGGCCTCTTGAGGACATGAACACCAAACCGAGTATAAAGAAAGCAGGGGGATGTAGAGAAGCAGAGTGTGGTAAGAAGGAGCAAGGAGAATCAGTTCGCGGCTCCTCATCGTTTCCTCTTTGAATGACCAGAGGAAAGAAAAGGATAAGAAGGAGGAAAGGCTCTGCGAAGACATCAGGAAAGAAGAGCAGACAACAGAAAGGAAGCCGTGAGATGCGGGAAGACGGTTCGGAGAAGAAAGGAGAATTCCTCCTTCGCTCGCCTCTCTTACTTCCTTGCCCTTCGCCTTCTTCCTCTTCTCTTACCCTATTCATCTTCATAAGGAAGGAGAAATGAAAGGAACGGAGAGTTCAGGGCATGCAAAGGGCACTCTTTCTCATCACCTCATCCATCATCCTTTTCATTGTTCTCTCCAGATCCCTCTTTCTCTCTCCCTCCCTTCCCGTCTACTTCTGCACATTCCCTTTTCCGCTTCTCTCCGCCTATTATGTTCGCTTTGATAAAATCGCTTGCCCTATTCCTTCTCCTCCTGGCTTTCCTGCCTCCCGTCCTTCTCCCTCTATCACTCAAAAGGAAGAAGGACGATTCACAAGAAAGAAGCGTAAGCCAAAGCTACGTAATGAAAGGGCGGAAGCCCCTGTCTCCTCTGTTCTTCCTCTTTTCTCTCTTATTTTTCTCTTAGCAAAGGGCACGCATGGAGCTAGGAAAGGGAAGGGGTCAAAGAAAGTACCGGAGAGAGCTGTTCTTCGTCCCTCTCACCTCCTCCTCTCATTCTCCTGATGCTTACTCATGTCAGAAGGGGTTGGAAAGGAGTGAAGGCTAGGGCATGGACTGAAGCGAGGCAATAGGTGAAAGTGGATAAGAGAAAGTCATAGACAGAGAGGGTCAAAGCGGAGGAGAGAAAGTAACGGAGAGAGCTGTTCTTCGTCCCTCTCACCTCCTCCTCTCATTCTCCTGATGCTTACTCATGTCAGAAGGGTCTGGAAAGGAGTGAAGGCTAGGGCATGGACTGAAGCGAGGCAATAGGTGAAAGTGGATAAGAGAAAGTCGGGGGCAGTCGAGATTCATCTTCATAAGGAAGGAGAAATGAAAGGAACGGAGAGTTCAGGGCATGCAAAGGGCACTCTTTCTCATCACCTCATCCATCCTCCTTGACAATTGTTCTCTCCAGATCCCTCTTTCTCTCTCCCTCCCTTCCCGTCTACTTCTGCACATTCCCTTTTCCGCTTCTCTCCGCCTATTATGTTCGCTTTGATAAAATCGCTTTCCCTATTCCTTCTCCTCCTGGCTTTCCTGCCTCCCGTCCTTCTCCCTCTATCACTCAGAAGGAAGAAGGACGATTCACAAGAAAGAAGCGTAAGCCAAAGCTACGTAATGAAAGGGCGGAAGCCCCTGTCTCCTCTGTTCTCTCTCTTATTTTTCTCTTAGCAAAGGGCACGCATGGAGCTAGGAAAGGGAAGGGGTCAAAGCGGATGAGAGAAAGTAGCGGAGAGAGCTGTTCTTCGTCCCTCTCACCTCCTCCTCTCATTCTCCTGATGCTTGCTCATGTCAGAAGGGGTTGGAAAGGAGTGAAGG